CGTTCACGAGAATTCCGAAGTTCCGATTAGAACCTCATGTAGACCTGGTAGGGATTCTACACGGAGGTTCTCTATTCTGGACTCGTGACATCTCTATTCTTCGTTAGGTATTCTCGAATAGTATCTTAGACCTCTTACGATCCTCAACCGAAGGATCGTATGATCTCTATATATGAATACTATGTTATGATATGTAGGTAGGAATGGTATGTTCTCCCATTCCCTTTCTTCGAAGCTTCGTATCGTATGTATCCTTCTAATACAGTACGTACGTATCCTTCTAATACAGTACGTACGTATCTGTTGCAGACTGGCTACTCAAAAATTTTAATAGTAGTATTTTTGATAGAGCTGTAACTGCTTAAAGGTTGGATAGTTTTACTAGTATTATGCAGTAAAAATGAGAATGAAAAAAAATCCTGGGGGGAYTTTTTGGAAATTTGGACCACACGTGGAATATGAGTTTCACTTTTTTTTTCGTGCTTCATGATGCGCAAAAAAAAATCGATGCGCACCCCTCTAAATTTATGACCCCTGCTTTTTGTCTATCAATGAAAGTGGATCACAATAAACAACGAAGAGTAATTTAAAAAAAATTATGCATCAAATACTGCGAGACACATGCTTCGGGGTGTTAGGGTACGAGTGTGAGCCCAAAGTACCCCAGGCCAGGGATGTTTCATTGGTGGGAAACAAGCTGTCTGTCATGTGTTGTGTTTTTATGGGCTTACTATCTCACACGTCAACACTCCTTATGTTTGAGTCTAACACTCCGAAGCAGGAGTCTTAAATAATTTCTTTTTTCACAATGATTCGTACTGTAATTCGTACCTACCGTAATAGGTTTTCACACGACCGACGATCACCTCTTGGCCAAGGGAGTTTGTTAATCATCCATTCATGTGATAAAACAGCAGAAATGGGGTTTGTTATGTAATCGAACCAATGTTTAAGCTCCTCAGTCACAGTTCTTCCGCAGAATCACCGAGACCGGTAGCAAGCGTGATGGTCGAATACACCAAAGCTATGGGCACTACTTCCAAAAAAACATAGACACTAGATCGAAGAAAATGCACAAGCTGAAGAAAGAAATGGAAGGGGAGCATAATGTCAGATCGTGCCAGAAGTGTTGATTCTTTTGGGCCAACATTACGAAGGGCATTTCTAGTGGAACTTGAGAATTCTCTTTTGATCGAATTAGAATTTTCCTCGCAACCGTGTCGACCATTGGGTGTAAATAGTTGCGAGTCTTTTATTTTTCGCATCTGCTGTTTTCTTCTTTAAATCGTTACAATCATAACAGCCAATACGATTCTAATGTGCAGAGTAGAATCAATAGAAGGAGAATAATCAATTGAGAGTGACTTGCTTCGATTTTTTGCCAAACAAAAACAGGAATCGAACGACAAGGTCAGTTTCAACTCTGTGTTCAACGCAAACGACTCTGTCGAGAACGAAAAGGATTGCAAAGTCAAGCTAAAACGCATGTCGACAGCAGGAACGTCGCCAACCGCAACAAGCGTATTAATCAAGAGAAGTTCCACAGCATAACATAAAAATGGAGAGAGAAAATAATTCAAAAAGCACTGGTCGACTCGACCAGTTCATCAAGGGGCACAATCGTGTTGGATTGTTACTACAAAATGCGAATAACAGCAGAAGTTTTTATGTCAGTCGCTGCCGCAGTCTCAACAGTAGTAGCACAATGGAATTGAGAAGGCAGATTTCTGGTCTTACTACCGACTATGATCCAAATTCATTCAATTCTTTGGAGACAGGAGACATCAAAGATTGCTTCCCATCGCAACAGTTGAATGACATCAACGTACGGAATACCATGCGGGATTCACCGAAAGAGCACGGAAAAGACAAACGCCAAGCCAACCCGATTGACAAGGATGAAAATGCCATTTCAGTTGAAACCAATTCTCTTACATCAGACTCATGGATGGATGAAGAAAAATCGGTGTCGTCACAAGTAGAGCAGACGGAATTAGGGAACTCCTCGAGCAGAGATCATAGGCAAGGAGGGGTTCCTGACAGAAGGGGTTTTCCTCCTGATTGCTATTCCTTCGGGTCCTTTGCCGGAAATTCTTACGCCACCAGAGAACACGGAAGTGATGAGTTCCGTAACGGAAGGGCCTTCCCTCCTGATTCCTATTCCTTCTTGTCGCTTCATGGCCCCATTGAAAGTCCCCTTTTCTTTGCCTTTGGAATGATGGGCTTTCTCTTCCAAATCGCATTCCTTTTGCTTACAGTGTTGAGTGTTCTTTATGAGAAATGGAATACCGACGGCGACGGGGACAATCCAGGAACTGATTTGATTGCAGCATTTGTTGCAGCAAATACAACTCCTCTTGTTCGGGCGACTCAAATTCTTGCAATCCTGTCTTACATTGTTTTCACAGAATCCAGTTTGATGGACGTTATAATTGCAGTGGAAACATTTCCCTCACGTTGGGACGTGACAAACAGAAACATGGTATTTTCTTGTTTTCTACGATTTTCACAGGGAGTAATGGCAATGATAGCAGCATTATTACTGATCATCACGGCAGAGAGTGTGATTGACATAGTCCTGAATTTCACTGCTGTTGTGAGTGTATCAATGAATAGTATGACAATGAATAGTATGAACATGGATACTACGAACACTCAGGATCTTGCAATAAAATTTGACAAACTCCCGTCTGATATTCTCCCGTTTTCTCGTTGCCAACAGAATTTTATCAGTCGCCTAGATAATGTAGCCTTTAACTTAGCTATGTGGGGCAAGTATGGACCAAAGCTGCAAGAGGAAGTGAGACGAATAATCAAACTACCACTTCCTAGTTGTATGTCCCAGGGAAAAAAACACACACGGTTCCAGTGCACTCTTATAACGTCAGGTCTGATCTTCCTTGCCATAATGACGTCAATTATTTATGCCCAAGAGAGTGAAGATATATGGTTCACAAAAGTGTTTAGAGTGCAGTTTCACGATCCTGATCTACAACAATACAGTGGATGCTTCAGTTTGATCGATACTACACCTGGATCGAAAAGGGGAATCTACGAGGGTCCCGGTGGTGTAAAGATTGCACATTGCATGGATACACGGAAGTGGAAATTTTTTATAGTAGGGACTGATCCTTGTGTTCATGATGCTCTTGAACTGGCACATTCGGACAACTCATATTCATTTGATGTATCATCAGCTTTTCAGAGCGGATGGCATTCTGCTGCCGGCAGACCCCTCGATCTATGCTTTTTTACATTCGACAGAGACTTCGAGGACATGTGTCCATTGGTTGGAAATGGAAAATGCGATCCAGATTTAAATAGTTTTGAATACGGTTTTGATGCAGGAGATTGCTGTTCTGCCTCACGTATTGGTCCCCGTTGTGGTGAGGGTGCAATGGCTAAAGGATTTGGAATGGTAGATTTGGCTGCTGCTGGTTATGGTTTCCCACAATGCATTGATCCACGAATGAAGCCAATAACAATTCTCCTTGGTAACTTCACAAAAAGGAAGGAGGCGACTAATTCTGTAGAAATACCATTCCCTGAATCAATTGGCCGTTCCAATCTTACTCTGGATGCAAAGTGTGACGAGAAGAAGGTTTTATCTATAGAAATCAATGAAGGCATGGCTAATAGTCACGAAACTATTATGGTCACTGATGGGGCGAGATGTACCGTCGAAGTAAACAATCCTGATCATGAAACTACCGTTGACTTGACTATTTTTCAAGGATACGGTGCTGACAATGATCCGAAGATCCTCCAAATCAATAGTGGTGTAGATGAAGTGTCGTCGTTCTCCGCAATTCCGACGTGCATGTTTGAGCAACTTTCCATACATGACAATACCAATACAACAAACTTCTACAGTGGTAGCAGCCAAGTACTTGAAGCAATTGAGTGGATGATTGAAGACAGCACGGTGTACTCAGAATGCCACACACCCAACTTTGTTGAGAGGTTCGCCCTAAGCGTGTTGAATTATGCCGCCCCAACAAAGAGTAGTGACAATGGGTTGTGGATTGATAAAAATGCACCATGGGAGTGGGACGAAGTTGAATACATAAATGGATCTTTGTCTGCATTGGATCTTTCCGAAGCATCGCTTGAAGGGACGATTTCAACATACATCGGCTTGCTGACATCATTATCCAGAATATCCATGAGTACGACTTACTATGATTCAGAACACCATTTTAACCAATCATCTGGTATGATCTCACACTCGGTTTCTTTTTCTGTTCTTTGTAGGTGATAACGGCCTCACTGGGAAGCTCCCGAGTGAAATTGGTTTGATATCATCTCTCGAATCATTGGAGATGGGCAACAATGCCCTCAGTGGTTCTCTCCCGTCAGAGATTGGAAAGCTGACATTGTTGACGCGTCTTTCACTAGGTAAGTACGCGGAAATCTTCGTTCAAGTGGTTGGGTATCGAAACATGCTCCCGTTCACCTGGCCTCTCATTGTCGATGCAAAATTTTCTTCGCCGTGCGAAATTTTGGGAACTTAGGAAACAATTCTTTTACTGGTACGATTCCGATCGAGCTGATCAAACTCAAAAACCTCCCTTGTATCGAAATCGGTACGTAACACCATATGTTATTCAAATGGATAATTTTTTTTGTGCCTAAACTGTCACTCATAACTTGAATTTTGACAAATAATCCACAGACAATTTATCCCTTGAAGGTTCACTCCCTCCGGGTCTCGCCATTTGTTAGGATGCGTCCCCTTTTGACACATTTTTCACAGTTCACGCCTTTCTTCGAGATCCAAATTTGTTTTGTGATGCTGGGCAATTGTAGCATCTCAGTTTGCATTTGAATTAAGCGCTAGGTGAGAATGGGTTTGGCTACTGGATTTCCGTTGACGCGCAAGAGAGAGCCCAACACCGGTCACACACACGACCTGCGAGATCAAGAAGCAGCCGTGAGTATTAAAATATTTAGAGCAACAACAGTATATAGTAATAATACACTTCGTCGTCGTCACGATAATAGTGTATGCAATGATGTGTTTGATTGCGAATTAATCTCGCGGTTTGCTGTTTATGTTATGTTGTTCCATCTACTATTGATGTTCCTCCTGTGTATAAGGACGTCAGGCATGATGTACGGCAACTTTTGCACGATCCAATGCAATACTTCCATCGGATTCAAATCCATTCCATTCCAAGGGTCAGCAGAGGATGCTGTATCGGCACGCAGGGAGTGAAGTTCCCTCCCTTCGAAACTTGCGTGATAATTGTTCCCTTCCGCTTCGCTTCGCTCCCAGCAGTTGCCTCTCAGATTCGGAGCGCCCGCCGTGTATTGGTTCTGTGGTTGGTCCCAACCCCCTCTTGGTTTTCTCCTTATCGTTTTAATTCCATTTGATGTTTCATTTCGCCGAAACACAAACAGCGTTTTCATTGGGTTGTGTGCTATGCTGTGCCATGTCGTACCGTTTCTGTTTCTGGAGCTATAGTGTGTGGCAAGATTCGTCCCGTGTCAGTCTATCTTCAGCTGCTTTTCAAGTGTCTTTATGTCCCCTAGTTCCCAAACCTTGAGGATCTGGTGGCGCTTGGGGCAAACGGTAAACTCCGATGCCCCGCTCCAGGAGACCAGCTTGTGGGTCGCCGGGCAGCCCAGCAGCGTACCGACGTGCTTGCCGGTAAACTTGAGGCGGCAAAAGCACTTGCGTCCCTCTACGACCATCGAATGGATCTCGCAGTGATAGTCCTCCAGGGAGGAGCGGACTGACAGGACCATCTGCGAGAATCCCTCGTGGCCCACCTTTTCGAGACCGGATTCGCTGTTGAAGCGCAGCCGGGGCGAGCAGACCTTGGAGATGCTGCTGATTTCGCCGCGGTTCCATATTTCTCCGATAAAGGTCTTGACGAGATCCCGGGTGGTCTCGCTCTCGTCGATGGGGTGGGCGGGGCTGGGATGTTGTTGTTCTTGCTCGCGTTGCTGCTGCAGAAGCGAGAGCTGTTGGATTTGCATGGCGAGGATTTCGTGCTGCTGCTGCTCGACGAGGTCTCCGGAGGGGCTGCTCTTGGCAGACGCCCTTGCTTTCGCCGCCGGGGAGGGAGCCACTTGTTCCTGCTTTTCCAGAGCTGTGGTGGAAGAGGCCTTGCCGCTTGCCGAAGGTCGGCTTTTCCGGTCCCCGCCATTTCTCAGCTTCTCGCCGAGTTTCATCTTGCTCCTCGACCCACCGCCGGCGGACCGGGAGGATTTCCTCGAGTGCGAGTGCGAGTGCGAGAGTTGGGTCCGGGACGACCGGGACCTCGAGTGCGTCTTGGACGTCGAACGCGAGTTGTGGGACCGGGAGACTCTGCCGGTGGCCGTGCTCCTGGAGGACACGGAGCGGGCCGTGGCCGCCGGGGAGAGGGACGAAGTGACCGGCACGAGCGGGTCTTCCCTCTTGCGGCTGTGGCCGTTGCTTCTCTCGTTGCTGTTGTGAACTAGCGCCGTCGCAGAGTTGGTCCTTTCCGGGATGGCGTTGGTGTCATTCTCGTGGTCCGCAGCGCAGTTTTTGCTGCTGCTGCTGTTGCTTCTCTTGAGGGCATCGTGGCTGCTGTGGAACGAGGGGGACGCGTTTTTGTAATACTTGTCGCCGTTCGTGTGGCGCTGCGGAAACGACGACCTGGAAACTTCTTGTAGCTGCTGTTGCGGACCCGATGCCGATGCCGATGCCGCATTTGCCATTGCTTCCGGATCCATGAAATCAAAGTAATCGTCGTGGGGATCGGTCGTCATTTCCTCCATGTGGGACGCAACCGATGCGTCGTCGTCGTCGTGGTTGTATTCGTGAAAGTCGTCGTAATCGTCGTTCATGCTCTCGGACAAGTCCACATCGTCGGCATTGTCATTGGGACCTCCCTGCTCGTACATCGAGGGCGGTTTCAGCTGTTGTTGCTTCTCGTCCCTGCCAATGTTGCTCTTTCTCCCAAAAAGGCCCATAGCTCTCGCAGCTTGGTATGGCTTGGTTTCCTATTTTTGCTCCTTTCGCTTTGCTTGATATCTTGATGTGAGGTTCTGCAACGTTGTTCGGTAAACTTTTTCGGAAACCAAGGCCTGGGATCAATCGATCAACGAATAACGCTGCCTCAGGAGCAAAAGAATTTATCGATCGGACTATATGCAGCTGACCAGTAGGTGGATAGATCGTGTGGAATAATAAAACGATGGATATATTCGACCGAAATATCATGCAATGTACGGATTGGGTTCACGACTGTTTCTTTTTGTCTCGCCTCGTTTTGTTCCCACTATTCGATGCGCAAGCCGCGGTGTTTTGGATCGGAGTCGAGACAATCCTCAATCGGGCCGAGTGTCGGCTTGGTTTCGTTGCCTTTGGTTTCTTTGGTTTTGCGCGAAACAAAACCGAAAATGCTGTGCCTGCTCTATTCAGAATTCGATTGGTTTGCACATTCGGTGTAGATGGTTTCTACGCTGCTGGTTTGATAGTACACGCAGTACCCGTGCATGCTCACCGTTCCGATGAATGAATCGATTAGTTGTGAAGGAGTACTTCGTGTAGACAAAATGCTTCGATGCACAGTGCCGGGCAACGAGGTGCGGAAGCTGCCAGTCGTATTTGAGAGGTGCTTGCTGCTAGCCGAAAAAATGGGTGTGGAGGAGCTCGCGCAGCGCGTGTACCAAAAATGTAACAGAAATGAGACCGTTGAGTAGGCTACCGTACCGTAGCATCGAAATGTGATGTAACTGTGGAGGAGCTCCCACACAAATAACACGGACCTCAACAGAGTACATTTTCTGGTACGATTTCGGTACACCAGTAACATAACTGAGATCGAGTGCACAAGATTACGTGTACTCTTAGTGGGTGTTTCAACTGTACTATATAAAATTGAATTATAAGATTAAGATTATCATGAAGATTATCGCGTAAGTTCACAAGAATTCCAGAGTTCTGATTAGATCCCTGTGTAGATCTGGTACTGATTCTACACGAGGGTTCTTCTATTCCGGACTCATGACATCTTTGTTCTTTGTGAAGTATTCTCAGATCATAGCTTGAGTATCTTGGACCTCTCAGGATCTTTGGTACGATGTATATGTATGAATAGTACCTTATGATATGTAGATAGGAATGGTATGTCCATTCATTCCGAGGAGCATCGTATGTACGTATGCTTCCAACAAGACAGTACATACGTATACTTTCGATACAGTACGTACATACGTACGTACGTATCCGTTGCATTAACACTGACAGTAATATTGCCTCCAATATTCCTTACTACTTAACTGTAGCAATCATATCTTCAATATTTTCAACAGAAGGTTCTTCCTCTACTGTTGCTGGATCTTCAGAATTGGCATTTGCATGGACAGTTCCCTTATAGGGAACAAGCTTCTGAATGTTGACAGTCTCACATACATTGTCACTCCTTGTAAAACAACTGTTCTGTTGGTATTGATTTCTACTATGGGATAGTGACCATGCAATCTTTGGGACAGCTTGTCTGGTTCATAGTATTTCATGTAGGCTTGCTGCCCAACCTGATATGGGAAAGGTATTCTTCTGGCATTCTCTCTTCTGAGATTTTCATCTATCAGGTGTTGTCGTTTGTCTCTGATAAGGTTTAAATCAGCAATGAGAGGGATATCCATAACCATATCTCTGTTGTACACCAGAGCTCCTGGTGAGGTTTTCACTGCAGCATTCACTGCACATCTGGTGGCATGCATTGCAGAGGCAAGCGCATTGTCAATCAGTTGATCTTCATCAAATTCAGCTTCCTTGAGCGGCCTCAAATGAAGAGTGGCTCTTAAGACATTGGCTATTGTCTGGTGGACTCTTTCACCCACTGCATTTGCTTGTGGGTTTTTCACTGTAGTTTGAACACTCTTTATTCCATACTGATTCAAGAGCTGCTTGAATGGGGTTTCAATGAATTCTTTGCCATTATCATGAACACATCTGTTGGGCCTTGGATATTGTAACAACCAACAGTTTGCAAATTGCTCTGCAACATGCTCACTTGACTTATTGTTGATTCTAATGATCTCCAATAGGTTAGTGACTGGATCAATGCAAGTGAGGGCATTGATCACCAATTCAGTTTCATCTGGTAGAAGTATTTTCCAAGGACCGATTAGGTCTACACAAACTTCATTCCAAGGAATGAGTTGAGCTTTCCAAGCTGATAATAGGCCATGTCCTTGATCTTATTGTTTGAATCTGTGGCACTCATCAGGGCATTGGTACTGCTTACATCTTTGGCTGAGTTGTGGAGCATAAAATCTGGCACTGATAGTTTCATAAAGCTTTGTACTCCCACAATGGCCTAATAAGAGATGATACCATTGGAGGGTGCTGTCTACCAGGCCATGGGCAAGTAAATCTTCCAATTATCATTCGTGGGATTCATTCCTTTAGGTTGTGTCACTGTAATTAGCTTGAAGGTTCCTATCCTCTTCTTAACATAGTGTTTTGGATCTGATTCAAGTAGTTGCTGACACTGAGGATCCATGAGCTGATAAGTATAAAGGGTTGCACTTGTTATTGGATTCTCCATCTCTGAGACTGGTGGCAAATTGAGTAAGCACTCATATAGTTTGGGCTCCAAATAGAAAACATCTTCTGGATCTACTTGGGCTGTCAATTCCTTGAAATTTACCACTGTTCCTTTGTTCTGCTCATATATTTTCTTTTCTTTATCCCCGACAGTGCACTGATCCATTTGGGGCACTTGTGAGAAACAATCAGCAATGATATTGTGCTTGCCTTGGATATACTTCCAAGTAATGTCAAATCCTTTGATGGACAATTTCCATCGTAGAACCCAGGACTGTGAAAGTGTCCTGAAGATAAGGTTCTTATGGTCAGTGTAGA